CCTTCCTCTTTGTATTAGAGAAGAGTGACGTTTTCTTCTCTCAAGTTATCCCTTTTTCTCTCTAGTTATGTATTAAGTAAATATTTATTAATATTTATTAATATATTTTTAAATAAATAAAGTTGTATATACTTGTTAGTATTATAGTTTTAACTACTATTGTTTTACTAGAAGTAATACTATAGGGTAGACCATTAAAGAAAGAACTGGAATTCTTATACACATGGAAAGTATACTAAACCCACCAATGCATTCAAAAGGAACAATCACTGTTTTTAAATCAAAAGAAGTTTTGCCTCTTGAAATGCGGAAAGATCGGTGGCATAAATCACCCCGTCCTCCACGTCCCGACTATGTAGCTCCCATCTGCCATTCTTTGATCTCAAATAATACCCCTTACCGTTCTGTAGTAACTTCTTCTCTTGTGAATTCTCCTGTTTACACTCCTCCCATTTGCTCAGAGAGCCAACACGCCTACGAAGACTTTTCCTATGACTATTTCAAAACACGCTACACCTTACAATTCGCTTCTTTCTTTGTATAAAACCATAATTGTACTTCTTATATAACTGTTATTATTCTTACCATTTATTTAATACATGTACTATTAAGTATGGTAAGTCTTAATACTACGATTTGTAATACATGTACTATACAACATTCTATTCTTTTCTATAAATAAACGAGTAAACAAATTTTATTTCATTTCAATCAACATGAGTGTAACCACTAACCACCCAGACAACGTCACAATACTACACAAATACGCCCAGAAGAGCAAACTGGCACATTCTTCGTTCCCTTTTGGGTACACTATATTCATCACAATCGCACTATTCAATGCCGGCGGGGTGGAGGACTCAACACATAAGACAAAGAAGAACATCGGGTCACTGGGAACTATTCCATAATACCACAACGCAAAGTTGATCCCAATACATATAGCAGGGCATATCACCATCCGCACAAAGAGGCCAACAGCTATAACATACCACTTAATAGTCCCGCCTTTCGGCCCCGTCGACAAGTTCCCTCCTAGTATAAACAACGCACTGATCACTGCTGCACTTCCTAAGTACTTTGCCGTTCTTCCTATAATCGCCATCTTGCCTTGATTAAATAACATATCGCGCACGGGGTAAGCCAAGATCAAAATGACTCCCAAGAGCGTTGCTATAGTCGGTGGAGTACACAGATTTTTTAATGCCCGTTTCACGGAGACGGGGAGGTGTTGCCACACATATGAAACTGCCCCAAACACCTTAGAAAAGACCACTTTGATTGGACTCAAAAATCCACAACGATCGCGTTGTGACTCAGAAGCTTCTTGAACACCCGCAAGTGGTTTCTGATCGTCCACTACAGTTGCTGTTGTTGTATTTAAATTGAGTTCATCAGACACTTTAGGCATTGGGGACTCTTCATCTGCTATAAGTTGAGTACTCAAGTCTGTGTCTTCTTTCACTCCACTTGAAACTTTCAGTTCTTTCTTCTCCAACACATTTTGACTCGACTCGAGTGCCTTCTCTAAAGTCTTCACATCCAATTGCTCGTTTTGAGTCTCGTCTTTTAACTCAATTTCACTTGCTCTGCGCTCCTCCTCGTCTTGGTCGACTTGATTTCGCTGAATAAACGAATATCCAAAGATCCAATAGATCACCGTCGCTGCTAATAAAAAGGTGCAGATATACCCACCGCCGACCTCTTTCGCATTGGGACCAAATACTTCATTGTTCTCGGAAGTCATCGAATCGACTAAGGCTAAAGGAATATACATCGTATTACTAAACGAAATTGTATACACAAAAACTCGCGTCGTTTTGTGCTCTAAACGAAAGAGTTTGGCGACTATAAAGATCGACGGGAAGGCTATCGCGTTGATGACAACAGCACACAAAGGAAGATACCACCAATCAACTAATGTGGATACTCGATCCATCGAAGTCGCCGTCTGTGCAAAGATTACAGCAGGTACAAAATATTGGAATACAATAGAGGAATAGACACGACGAGAAGCTACATCAAACCCGGCTGTTCGTGTCGCTAAAAACCCCGTCACTGCTACAATCGCTAATTTAAAAATCTGTACGTAAATTTATTAACTCATCACTGGTTGAAAGATAAAGATTATTATTTATTTTATTAATAATGAAATAAAGATTTTTATTCATTTCCCAATTGTTTAAAAGAAACCAAAGAAACAAATGGCCACAAATCGGGTTTATAATAAATAATCCGAGCCATGTTGAAACGAAGAGTTCAACAAACAGCATTAAAAGTCGAGAGAATAATCCCAAAGATATCCATTTGGATTTTAAGATAAGAATATGTGCACTATTAAGTTATACTATTTTTATTATATTCTTATTATATTTCATTTGTATTTGTACTATATTTTTATTATACTTATTTATATTATTGAATAAACTATATGTTTGTTTTAATTGTTTTAACTTACTTTGTTTAAAACTATAATAACAATTATTATTTTACTATATATTTTTCAAAATAAATTAATCTATTTGAGAATAATAAAAATATTATAATTGTTTAAATTACTGAATTATACAATTATAAAATAGTAAATGAGGTATTTCGAAATACACTTTTTGTACAAATTAGTTTTTTTAATTCATTTTGAAAAAACTGATTTTAAATTAAATTTAGTTTAAAATGAGATATTAAATTGAGATTTAATTTGTCAAAAAATATCATTTGAAATTGTTTTTCAAAAAAGTTCATTTTTTAAATATATATTTCATACAAACAGCAAAAAGCTATAATTAATAATAACCGAACTATAGTGGACTACTCAACTGTTTATACATAGGGTGCGCAACCGCGAGAGTAAATTTTCATTTTTATGAAATCTTTTTTTGTCATTGTAAAAAATAGTGAAATATGTCAATTTATTATTTTATTCATAATAATGAGCAAAATTTGTAAAATCTGTCTTAATATTGAAACGTGTGAACAGTATTCGATTAAAAGTAAATAAA